CCACTTGGATGTCTAATTAGCATCTCAAACTTAACATATTTAAAACCAAACTCATAGCTCCCCAAACTGTTCTTTTAGGCTTTCTTATCTCAGTAAATAGCTGCTTCATCCTTTTAGTTGTACAGGCAAATAGCTTTAGAGTTATTCCTAACTTTTCTCTCTCATACTATATTACCAGTCCATCAGAAAATCATTTTAATTCTTCCTTCAAAATACTGTATATGCAGAACCTGACTATTCTCATCACTGCTATGATTACCACATTTGGTCCAAATCATCGTGTCTCATATGAGTTATTACAGTAACCTTCTACTGGTCTCTTTGATCATTGCCCCTTTATCAGTCCTGTCCCTAACATTTGTGGAGCTTGAGGCAAGAATACAAATGGATGCCTATATTTGCATACATTTTTTTAAAATTACAAATAAAAAACTTAAGTATCTTCTAATTTCTTATCTTGACAAATATATCTCTACAAAGACCTGAAACACCAGTATGAATTGGGAATTCTCAGGCTTCTAAGGGTTCTGCATCAGGAAGTAAGTAATGTGGAGATAACTGTTTTCTGGCCACCAGCCTTCAACCTGCTCTTTTTCTATTCTCAGCTCTGGCTCCATTCCCCACTGCAAGGAGCATTTTGTTCATGCATACGGACACCCCAGTCTGCATGTCCAAGATATACCTATACTCATTACAAACAGCTACCATTGGTAATTCTACAGGCCTAGGGTGTGCATGCAGGTGATGTTATCCACTCTAGAAAGAACAGACCCATGGAGGAAGGCTTTCAAGTTCCTGTAAGTGGACTAGGGGCAGTTTGAGCAAGGAATTCCAGGTCCCTGGCTATTTGTAGTATGATCTGGAAAGGGAGATTGTGGCCAGAAGAGGCTCAGAGTAGAGCCATTAAAAATAATTCAAGGCAGGGAAACTCACTCATTCCTCTGTCTTGAACCCCCTTATCTCAGATATCCCTTTCTTATCTGGATGTCAGGTCAGACTCCCCTTTACAGTCTGTAAGGGGAAAAGACAGAAGCAAGGAGACTATTCAGGAAGATATAGTAGCCAGAATGGTCCTTTTATAAGTAAAGTCACGTCACTCTTATTTTCTAAAACCTCCACTGGCTTCTTCCATTTCACGCAGAGGAAAACCCAGAGACTTTACAATACTGAGAATGCTCTCTGAGATCTGACTTGTCCTCAACCACTTTGCCTGACTGATCTAATTTACTCTACTCTTCCCCTTGCTTACTTGGCTCTGTCCACACTGGCCTCCCTTGTTGCTCCTCAAACAGACCAGGCGCCCTCCCACCCCAGAGACCTTTGAACTCACTCATTCCTCTGTCTTGAACCCCCTTATCTCAGATATCCCTGTAGTGTCTTTCCTCATACATTTTTTTCGAACATCATCTTCTCAGTGAAGCTCTCCGTGACCTCCTTATTCAAAATATTTCTGTCCCTTCCTTGTTTTGTTTGTCTCCACAGGTATTGCCACCATCTGACATAGGTATAATTTTATCTATCATCTGTCTCTCTATTTTAGAATATAGGCTCCATAAGGATTAGGATTTTTATCTATTTTATTTACAGACCCCCAGCTCTCAGAACAGCTCCTGGCCCATACAAGGGGCTCAATATATATCTTTGAATTAATGATTAAAAACCATTTAAAATCTTTTTTTCAATACAGTGGTGTATAGAGGCCAAAAGTAAAATGTGTCGCAGCTCATTAATATAGTACCAACTTTGTGCATGTTAAAACAGAAATAAATTAGCATACATTCAAGATTAACTCTATATAACAATCTCGGTCTCATATTTTCTATGGATGCCTATCTCCATTTTCATATTTTAAGTCTAGAAAATGTGTTTATTTATTTATTTCCCCCTCTTTGATTCCGGCCCCCAACACACACACACTTCTACCCCTGACCTATGGATGTTGCTGCTTTCCCCTTAAGAACTAGATCTCTAAAGGCGGGGCATCTCCTCCCACATGCGGGGGGCCCAGAGCACGGGGGTGGGGGGGTTGGGGGGGTGGGTATAGTCCCTGGGCCCACCTGGGGAGCAAGCCCAGGACCTTCTGCATGTAAAGCAGACATGCCAACTGCTACACTATGGAGTCATCCCAAGTTTAGGAAATTTAAATGATTAATTCTGGCAAAACCAAATATAGTGCCTAACAGATAGCACCATAACTTACTTAATACTATTCCCATTTTATTTATTTATTTGGATATTTACTTTCTAATATTTCACAAGTATAAGAAAGGCTCCAGAGAATGTTTTGGTGAGTAAAGGATTATTTCTTTTGTAGAATAGATTCCCAGAAAAGGACTTATTAAGTACCAATTTATACTATCACTCAGGTATAAAAATGGTTTCTCATTTTAAATATACATTTCTATGATTAGCATATGCCAAAAAGAGCAAACTGGTAATTGGTTCTTCACTAGAGGTTGTGCTGTTTTATATAGATTATCACATCTGAGCCCATTATTACTTAGTACTATTATGGACTGAATGTATGTGTCTCTCTAAATCAATATATTAAAGTCTTCCCTCCACCCTAGTGTGGTTGTATTTGATGTCAGGAAGTACTTAATGTTAAGTGAGGTCATAAGGTCCTTATTTAATAGGATTAGTGTCCTTATAAGAAGAGACATCAAAGAGCATACAGTGTGAGGACATAACAAGAAAGCACCTCCTGCCCTTCAGGAAGAGTCCTTACCAGTAACCGAATTGGCCTTGGACTTCTAACATCCAGAACTGTGAGAAAATAAATTTCTGTTTAAGACACCTGGTCTGTGGTATTTCGTTATGGCAGCCCTAGCAGTCTAATACTATACTGTTGCTGTCTCCATGTAACAAATGATGACACAGGGAACAAGAGATTAAGTGAGTTGTAAATATGTGGTGGAGCCAAAATTTGAATCCAGACTAATTTCACTTCAGGGCAGCCATTTGTTCTGAATTTAAGAACAGCACAATAAACTTGTTTAGGGCAGTGACCCCCATACGACATTGAAGGAAAAACCAGCTTATGATAAGTTTTGCAAGACAAGAACTATCCTTTCTTGTCTTATTAGGTAATTTGTTCTTTAGCATGTAATATTTTATTTACTTATTTATTTACTTACTTTCTTACTTATTTATTTATTTTAGGCGAGGCAACCCTTTGTTGACCTCACAGATTGCAAGGACCTTGTCATCTTACAATCTCTTATTTTTTATTTTTTATGCCTACAGCACCTGGTCTTCCTAGGTGGTCTCCCTTCCAAGTACTAACCAGGCCCAACCCTGCTTAGCTTCTGAGATCAGAAGGGATAGGGCTCATTCAGGGTGGCATGGCCATAGAATATATATTTTAAAAATATACAATAACTTGGGCGAATCTCAAGAACATAATGGTGAGTGAAAGAAATGAGTCAAAATACAGTAATATTCAGTTTATAAAATGTCATAACAAATATACTGCAAATACATTAAAGAATACAAATATAATAAAACTCTAAAGAGAAGCAAAAAATCATAAGCATAATTTCCCTTTGAGAGGGAAAAGAAGGAGTTAGAATGAGGGAGATGCTTAGGGAACTTCAAACTAGACCGTAGATATAAAGTTCTTTTGTTACACATCATTCTGGATACCTTGCATATGTTTTATATATATTATGTAATTATCCTACGTACTCATATTCAATAAAAGTAATTTTTACAGATAAGATCCTTTATAGATAAAATGAATAAAGGACATGGGTAGACAATCCCATGGTCTATGTTTCAGTGGACTATGAATAGAAGGACTGAGCATTAAGAGGGGGGAGCTCAGTGAGGAGGCATGCCTGTACAGTGAAAATCCTTCCCTCCGCTGTCTCCCATTGGGAGAAGGGAGTGGGTTTTGAATGTAAGAACAGCACAGTAAACTTGTTTAGGACAATGGCCCCCACAGGAAAAAAAAAATACACTCAGTCTCTGACTTTTTGTGGAACTGGGTTTGACTCTCTCTACCCAACTTGACATTATGATTATTTTCATAATCATAATGTCAAGTTGGGTAGAGAGAGTCAAACATACAAAAATAGAAAAAGAATAATTGAACAGTGGTACATCCTCCACATAGATGCAATAATTGTTACTATTTTGCTGTCTATCTAACTTAGTCTATTCGGGATGTTATAACAAAAATACCATAGAGAGGGTGGCTTAAACAACATTTATTTCTGAAGGTTCTGGAGTCTAGGAGGTTCTAGATCAAGACATCAGCAAATTCAGCATCTGGCGAGAGCCCACATCCTATTCATAGAATGTCGTCTTCTCACTGTTTCCTCACATGACCAAAGGGGATTATGTGTCAATATATGAATTTCTGGGAGATGCATTCAGTTTATGACATCTTTGTTGAAGGATTTGAAATCAAGTTGCAGATATAACGCTTCAGGTCTAAATACTTGAGCGCAGATTGTCTATAATAAAGACATTCTCCAACACAACCACGCAGTATTAATTATACATAAATGCATGTCAATAAGTTTATTGATAAATTTATCAATAAGTCGTTAATTATTCCATAATACCAACTCTAATATACACTTCATATTCAATCTTCCTCAGTTGTTTAGAATGTCTTTTATAGCTGCTTTTTGGAGAACCAGGATCTGCAATACTCAATAGCTTTTTATCAGTAACCTCAAACCATTATTTGAAGGACCGAGACTGTCATGCAATTTACTTTTTCGTACATTGGATCAGGGTATGTATTGGAGCAGAGGAGGGGCTTTGTGAGGAGTGACTTGTGCCTAGAAGCCATTCCAGGTAGGCCCAGGAGGTTGGGAGGTAGGTAAGGACAGGGGCTCACTCATTCTGATCCCTAGTAAAGATTGACTTTAGGCTAACAAACTAACATTACGTTTTTAGGAGTCAGTCAAAGCAAGGGTTCTCAACTGCCGCCAGAGGGCGCAAGGCGCGCCGGCAGAACTCCAGGTGGCTCTCGCAAAAAAAGCGCGCGTGCGCGGTACCGCGGCGGGCGGCGGAGGGAGCCGCGATGGAGGGCCCTCTGACTGTCCGCCAGGTAAGGGGCGCCTCGCTGGGGCGGGTTCCTAAACCGTGACTTACTAGTGTCCTTCGCGATGGTTGTTTAACCCCTCTCGGATTATGGTAATGAATTCCTCCCTTCCTTTTTCTTGGTGCTCTTTGGAGTAAAGTGGAAAGTTGTTACCGAGGAAACGGTTTCCTGAGCTTCCTGCGAGCCTTTCGCTTGTGGGCGATGCTGGAAGGGTCTGCTTTTCTGTGGACGTGTGCAGGAATTTGGACCCGAAATGTCATATTCCAGATGTCTCAGCCTCAAGTCCCATTGACTCGGGCTCTGTTGTCAAGATACTGACCCGATATCACGTTGATCCAGTTTCACCCCCTTCGCTTAACAGCTCTTGATTAAAGGGCTCAGACTAGGTGGTTTAAATCACTGTGCCGTCAACCACGTTTTTGGTTTCAGCTAGTTCCGTTATTTGTTTACTACCTTATTTGATAAATAGAACTTGTTGATTGATCTTCAGGGTGAAAGCCTACCATTGCTTCAGGAGTACATGCATTTCTGAATACTATCTTCATTACTTTTACTTTGGTTTTGTGTATATATTTTACTTCTGGAGAATTGCAGTCAACGCAGTGCCTTTTATTTGAGTAGCATTTTACAGTTTACAAAATGGTGGAGGCACTCAAATAATTGCCGAATGAACAAATGGTGAATACTTTTTCAATTGATTCTCTAAACATTACTATGGAATAGGCAAGATAGATATTCATGAACCCAATCAGTCATTCTTTCATCTATATCTCTCTGGCCCTGGATGTTTGGGATAAGATGGTGAGCAACACAGACATGATCCATGCTCTCCATGAGCTTATTGTCTAGACTAGAGAGAATTATTACCCCTACTGTAGAGTGAAGAAAACAGCTTTGGAGAGATTGAGTGACTGCCAATGACCACACAGCTAATAACTTAGAGAAGCGGGATTCTGTTGTAGCCATTCTACAAAGCCAGAATGGACCCCCACCAAAATTTGTTTTGGATATAGAAAGTGGTGATGCCATACACACACCATGAAGGTATAAAGAGGTTTATTACTTATACATAAAGGTTTATTACATATATACTTAACATGAAAAGGGAAGAGCAGGGCCAGATTCTCAAGCAGATCCGAAATGACTTGAATAGGCAAGGAAAAGAGGCTGGCCTCAGGTTTTTATTGTGGTTAGGGGATGGGGTGAGTGTAAGGGTTCCTGCGTGTGGACAGGGCTTGCTTGGTTTGACTCTCCCACCCACACGAAAGGAAAGAACACCCATGCTTTCTTACTAACTTGCCCATTTGAGGGTCAGAAGAGAAAGAAGGAGGGGGGAGGCTTAAAAGCTGTCTGCAGACAAGCATAACAAAAAATGGAGTGAGACTTATTATATTTCACCTCTGATGTTTGATGACTGAAATGTACCCTTTTTTATTTAGTTGAATTTGAACTTGTTTAAACTTGTTTAAGCCATAATGGCTCTGTGAGGCCTGCAGCCTGAAGTCAGTAAGGAAGAGGAAAGTTCCGCTGAATACCTTGTTCAAGAGCCCAATGATGTGTATTTTGTGAAGTACAATGAGTGCCTTGGTCATTATGAGTAATGTCTGGAACTCTGAGGGGCATAAGGAATGTCTTGGTGAGGTCTTTTATTATGGCTTTAGTATATGTAGAGACATGTGTGACTTTGGTTTATATTTTGAGAGCCTGTGAAGCAAGAGAGTTCCAGCGTTCTTTACCTCAAAGGATGCATCTCTTAGGCAGTGGTCCAAGAGTCTGTGAAAATGTGCTCCGATTTTTGGCCAGAGCATTCACTGTTAAGGTGACTGTGGGAAGTTCAGCCAGTTGCGCTGAACTTGGATCCTTTCCTTTATTGGGGACATTCCGGTTAAGGGATGAAAAGCTGTAGGTCTCCAGTGAGCTCCATCATGTGTAATGGTGGTGATGCTGTTCACTGAACAGCAAGTTTGTCCATCAAACTTCAAATGGAAGTTTGAAGAGTACAAACTCCTATTACTGTTCACTCAGTCGAACCCAACTTGCTCCCCAGGTATTCAAAGAGCTGAGAAGAGGAGTGACCTCTTCCAACACCATGATATCTGACAAAGGAATGAGGACAGGGAAGGCCATGCCCTTCTGCAAGTGGGATACGTGTGAGGCCCAGATTTGTTTCTGTTATGTAGCTAGGAGGACTTGGCGGTGCTGAGCTTTCAGGACCCAAGGCATAATGGACAGCTGGGGATGGAGGGTCACAGGCTCTATTTCCTGGAGAGTCCAGTATGCTGGCAGTAATTGCTGCTCTAATGGTATATAGTGTGGAGATAGTTTCTTGCATCAGAAGCCTGTGGACAATTTATAGACATTATGGGTGGTCCAGAGACTCTAGGAATCATGAAAAGAAGCTGCTTAAGTCTCTACAGTGAAGGATTCTTTGTGTGTGTGTGTGTGTGTGTGTGTGTGTGTGTGTGTGTGTGTGTATTGGGGGAGTAGCACTAATGGGAGAGTCTGTATGTGATAATTTTGACAAATTTTAAATTTTAGGGGGGAAGGAGCCCCATTTTGGGTGGACTGATTTGCAAATAACAGAATAAATGGGTGTAAGTAAAATGAGGAATATATTGCCTCTAGAACTCCCAAAGGCCTCAAAGATGTTGGGCTTGTTTTAATGTTGTGGATGCTAAGAGGGCCTGTAATCAATCCCTGGTTTACCAAATAATTTTCAGGAATTTAACCAAGGTGGCAGGCCTTACATATGTGTGGCGCAATGGCCCATCCCCTTTTTGTGAGCTCCTTTGTGAGTATTTGTGTGTCCTAAATGGATGTGTCAAAAGAATATCCTCAGAGAAGGGGTGTAATCAATGTAATATCGTACCTGTGCTCCTAGAGAAAATTGGATACAGTTAAGATCTTGCCTGTAAGGGCTGCATGCAATGGCAAGGCTTTTGAGGTATGCCATGAGTAGCTAGGTAAAGGTATGTCGTGTACCTCCGGAGGTGAAAGCAAACTGTGACTGAGAGATTATTGAAAGAGGCACTGAATAGAACATATTAGCCAAATTTATGATATCACAATATTTGCCTGTTTCTGATTGGTTAGAGTCAGTATTTGGATATAGGGGACTTCATGGGTTGGATCACAGCATCAAGGATACAGTAATCAACTGTAAAGCACCATTCGTTTTTCCAACTTTAAGAAGCCACGTTGGGCTGTTAAATGGAGAAGCAGTAGGGATAATCACTCTTTCACTAATTAAGTCTTACATAATAAATCTCAATCTTCGATGGCCGTATTTTATTTTACATTGAGCTGCATTAGCTATTTTAACTAATTAAAAGGGATTGGGGGAAATGGTCCATGGGGTTCCACTTTTGAAAAATCCGATTTGTAAGCTCCAAAGACTTGATTTAAATTTATTATTCATTGGGTCAGAGCATCTATTCCCACTATAGATTATTTTAGGGCGATGGGTACTGTGATCAGGGAGAATTTTGGCAAGGCAGTAGTTCTGGTGGTTAAAGGGAGGCATATTTATTTGTTTTCTATTTATGTTTAGTAATTCCCCTAAGATCATTGGGAGTACCTGGTCTAAATTTAGTGAGATCTCCACGTATAGCTGTAGTTTGAGCCCAATATTGATTTAATCCATAAAGATTTGTTAATTGATGCATTTCAGCAGATGCTGAAGTGAATTCAAAACCTATGCTGTAGAGGTGGAAAAGCCAATCTTTACCTTTTGTTGTATAAATTATTTTAATAAATTTTTGGATTTCCAACTGAGTCAAATTGGGGACCTCTGTTTCAGTTTTTTTTGTTGTTGTTAATGTATTTATTTTCCTTGTATCCAACTTTGTTTCTTTTTCTCTCTTTTTGGTGGTTAGCGAATATACTTTGGGTGGAGGAGGTCTTCTCTACCCTTTCCTATTTATAAATTTCTTTCTCCAGAGAGCCCCAAATCAGTATCATCAGGGTTAAGTGCTTCCCCTGTGGTTACTTTATATAAGAACCCCAAGATTAAGTTGAATTTGAATTAACCCTTTGCTGTGCCACACGGGTGCTATGGATGCTTTTCCCTGTAACCCTGAGGATCAGGGTTTTTGTTACAACAGAGGCATAGGTGGCAGCAGCTACAGAGGTACTTAAAGGTCTTGGTGAGCTAATGGCTCCT